GGGTGGGGTGCTCTGGGTGTGGTTTGCTCCTTCTCTACTGTCAAATATCTATCATCCTTATTTCTCTTTCTTCTGTTTTGGGTGGCACACATTACTCTCTTGTAATCCATCTAATCTTCAACACTTGTATGACCTTATTGTATTGCAAGTGCCAAAAAATTCTTGCTAAAACTAAACTTAACTTCTTTCTTGTGTTTGTTACTCTCTCGTAACACCTCTAATCTTCGGCACCTAAATGACCAAAGTATTTTGCTGCAAGAGCCGTAAAACTATTACTTCTCGTAAAAAGCAGAACGTAAATTATGTTGCTTGAATTATCTAGGATTCAAGTTAAAGGTTTCATTCGGCATCTTCTTCCACAGTTCGTACGAGCATGATGGAGAGTACATGTGTATTGCTAGCAACGAGTTTAAAAACCCATCGGGACCACCCAACACAGCATCCAGTTTTTCACCCATCATCAAACTGCTAGAAGCTCGTAAGTCTATGTGTCTGTCTGTCTGTCCATGCATCCTTCCATTCATCCATCTGTGTGGGTGGTTGGCGGGTCCTCTGGTGTGGTTTGCTTCCTCTTTCCTATCAAATATCTATCGTCCTTATCTCCCCTTCCTCTTTTTTATGTTTGTTACTCTCTTGTAACACCTCTAATCTTCGGCACTTATATGACCTTACTTTGTTGCAAGTGCCGTAAAACTCTACTAAACTATACTATACATTTGTTGTTCCCTCCATCCATCCATTTGTCGATCCATCTATCCATTCATCCATCCATCCATCCATACATATGTTGTTTCAACCATCCATCCATCATCCTTCCACGCTTCAGCCCATGTGTCTATCTAGCCATCTATCCATACATCCATACATCCGCCAACCTGATCGTCCGTCGCTCCAACCATCATTCCATCCCCCTCTGTCTGTGTATCTGGTTCATCGTCTGTTGATCTGTCTTGTCTTTTTGCCACTGCTCATCTAGTGGTTGGTTGGCGGGTGCCCTGGTTTGGTATCTATTGTCCTGATCTCTACTCCTCCTTTGTGTGTGTTACTCTCTTGTAACACCTTTAGTCCTCAGCACTTATATGATCTTATTGTGTTGCAAATGCCGTAAAACTTTTACTAAAGCTATTATAAACTGCCCATCTTCCACTTTTTTACGGCTTCCACACTGTTCTAAGTAAATGTTTGGAGGATGCCATTGGTGGGTCCTAACTCTTACCTTTCCCTCTGCTGTTTTTGTCTGTCTGTTGTGCTTTTTCCTTGCACTATATGGAAGTTTTCGTTTTGATGTGCTTCTCTTTACTCAGCAGACACACTGTTCTAAGTGCTTGCATACTTTACTTTACTTTCACTTTTCCGATCCAGGGACCATTTGAGTTCTAGCCCTTCGGCCTAAGTGCATTCATGAACATGCAACCATTGTCAGCCTATCTATTCAGTGATCCTTCCATACATCCAGACATCTTTTATCACTCCACCTATTCTTTTCAACTTCATCAGTCCACTTTACCACACTGTCATTCTCACACCTCTAATCTTCAACACTTAAATGACCTAATGTGTTGCAAGTGCTGTAAAACAATTAAATCTACTATAATTTTTTTTATTTCAAACATACCAGTCGGTATAAACAAGTATTTTTAAAACAGATTAATCTGTATTTTGTTACTAAATCAATCTATGTTTAAATTTTTTAAAATGCCAACCTGTATTTTGTAACCAAATCAATTTGTAGGCCTATGTAATAACCAAACCAACTCGTATTTTTAAGCCCGATCAATCTGTATTTGATAACCAAACCAATTCATATTTTGAACCATGATCAATCTGAATTTCGTAAGTAAACCCACCTGTTGAATTTATTAAGTCTGATCAATTTGTGTTTTTGTAAGCAGACAAACCACTATTTTTAAGCTAAATCTATCTGTACTTTGAGACCCAAAACATCTGTATTTCTTTCCCCTCAGGTATGAATATAAATTCCGGTGAGGACAAGAAGCTGACCGGCACAGAGTACTCTTACTTCATGATTCCCTGCAGCTACGAGGGGCAGGCTGTCGTTGCTGATGTCAGCATAAACTGGTTCCAGGGCTCTCGGACAAACCAACTGAAGGAGTTCGATAATGACCGCATCTATGTGGACACTGATGGTGAGAAGGGAAGGGAGGGTGTGTTTACTTGTTAACGCTTTTGTTCTTGAAAATGGCTGTGAAGGACCCCAGCATAAATACTTTAACTTGGGAGAGCCTAGATCCTGTCAGACCTAGGTTGAAAGCAGTAGGCACAGTGAGCAGAAAATCGTATGAGGCTTAACAAATAAAAAATGCTGAAACCATACCTATCACTCATCTCGATTTAATCGGTATATCCCAGTTACTTGTTTCAAATCTCAAGCATCCCGATTTTCCTGATTTTGATTGAGTGTATCCTGATTTTTTTTCAAAAAACTTACTCTGCCTTCTTCTCTGTTGCGGGAAGCATTTGTTAAACTTTTTGTCAGCAGGAACTCGGAGCACTATTTTCCTAAATATCGATCCCGGATTCTATTTCACTGGAGAAATGTTCTCCTCTGTAGATGTATTGGTCATCGTCAGACATTGATGGGCGAGCTATTATTACTATCTCTATTATTGTTCATTGAAGAAATTTATTTATAAACACTTTTGTTAGTGTGTTGGAGTTTCGTTTGATTTTTAAAAACGAGAAAATAGAATTAAAAAGTTGAAAATACTTTATGTCTAGCTGATTTTTGTTAATCGGCTCAGGCTGGAGAAAGGTGGTGAGAGGTAGCATTTCTACACAAGATACTCTAAACATAACTGGTGTCTATGGTGTAATAGTTAGGCACGTCACCATCGTAGTCTGAAGACCTAAGTGTGATTCCTGTGGGGTGGGGGGGGAGGAGAATTTTAATAGAGTGTCTCAGTATCTTAGTATCTCAGTCGTTCTGCTGGGACATCGTATCCCCCTCAGCCCAGGTTGGCCCTGAAAGACGGGGTCAATGATCACTTCCTAAATGATTACCAAGGCCCCAAGATATGGAATGCTTTACCAAGTACTTTGAGAGAAATCAAATCTTTTGATTCATTCAAATGTCAGCTGAAGCCGGTTTAGTCAGAACACAACGTTTCATGTTACTGTTGTATGTTGTACTGTATTGTAAAGCGCTCAGAGCCTGTGTACTTTATTCAGGGTTGAGCGCTATATAAATGTCATTTATTATTATTATTTTTAATGATTTAAATTATATCAATGGCAGTGGCTGGGGGTGATGGAAGGGGGGGGGGGGGGGGGTTAAACACATACATGAAAAGTAAACCCTCTAAAGATAGCAGCCTCCGCTAATTATCCATTCATAAAAATGTCATATGTGATTGTTGGGTCTAAATAATAATTAAAATGAATAGCATATGTATAGCGCATATCCCCGCTCGACGGCAAGCTTTTTGCGCTTTATTCTATAAGTATTACCCCCAGCAGACCCTTGATCACTCAGAAACATTTTCAGCTTGGCCTCACATATCCACTGTTGTCTGCCGTGACATAAGGAGACTCTCCCTATAGATGTGAAATGAATCTTGAGAGTAGCCAGCCATTTTGTTGTTAGCGGGCGGTTGGCCAGGGCTGGGGTGTGGTCTGCTCCTTCTTTCCTTTCAAATATCTGTCATCCTTTTCTCTCTTCTCCTTCTTGTTCGTGTCTGTTACTCTCTTGTAACACCTCTTGTATGACCTAATTGTTTTGCAATAGTGAGTGGTTGGCAGGTGCTCGGGTGTGGTTTGCTCCTTCTTTCCTATCAAACACCTGTCGTCCTGATCTCTCCTCCTTCTTTTTTGTGTTTGTTACTCTCTTGTAACACCTCTAATCTTAGGCACTTATATGACCTTGTTGTGTTGGGAGTGCCGTAAAACTTCTATTAAAATTAAATATAATTAATGAGTTCCAAGGATTCTAAAGGCTCAGGATTTTGTTTTGTAGTCTGTTGTCACCTCTATGTTCTTATTTGCTATGGGTGCTCTCTCATTGATGCAATTAACAATTATCAACCATGTTGAAACGGGTGGTTGGCGGGTGCCCTGGTGTGGTTTGCTCCTTCTTTCCTCTCAAACATCTATCATCCTGATCTCTCCTACTTTTATTCTGTGTTTGTTACTCTCTTGATACATCTCTAATCTTAAGCAGTTATATAACCTTATTGTGTTGGAAGAGCCGCAAAACTCTTACTAAAACTAAACATAAATGTTTGAGTTCCTGTGCGCATGTTTTCCCAGTGTGTGTTCTTATTTGCTATGGATGTTCTACTCTCTCATTGATGCAATGTGGGTGGTTGGCATGGTTTGCTTCTTCTTTCCTATCAAACAGCTATTATTCTTATCTCCCCTCCTTCTTTTTTGTGTTTGTTGCTCTCTTGTGACACCTCTAATCTTCGGCGCTTATAAGACCTTATTGTGTTGCAAGTGCCGTAAAACTCTTACGAAAACTAAAACTCTAATCTTCGGCGCTTATAAGACCTTATTGTGTTGCAAGGGCCATAAAACTCTTACTAAAACAAACAATTGACGCAATTTTACAATTATTTTCAACCGTGTTCACAGGTAACTTGCACTTCACCTACCTGAAGAGCTCTGACCGCAGTAAACCGACGGAAAAATACAGGTGTGGTATCGGCAGTACCCAGGTTTCGATGATTGTGCTGTCAAATGGCAATGAACTGGCAGTCACAGAAGTACTCAGTGAGTGTCAGAGTTTTTGGCTATGTGCCAGTTTTTGTTGGGGGGTTTTTGTCCGGTGTCCCGATTTTGTTACCGATATTTGTAAATTACGTAAAAATATGCCAACTTGGTACAACTTATTATGCTTCGAGAAAAACAAAACACGAAAAAGGGGATATGATGATGATGATTGTGATGGTGGTGGTGGTGAACTTGAACAAAAACTATCTCTCCTCTTTTTTTTGTGTGTGTGTTTGTTACTCTCTTGTAATACCTCTAATCTTCGCCACTTGTATCACCTAATTGTGTATTTTCAAGTGCCGTTAAACTCGGTAACAAGAACTTAACTAATAAGCAACTTCATTGTATCTATCTCTCGAGCTCGAACACTAAAGGTATGTCTCTTGGTGGTTGGCGGGTGCTCTGGTGTGGTTTGCTCCTTCTTTCCTATCAGACATCTATCACCTTATCTCCCCTTGTTCTTTTTTATGTTTGTTACTCTCTTGTAACACCTCTAATCTTCTGGCGCTCATATGACCTTATGCAGTTGCGAGCGCCGTAAAACCTCTTCTAAAACTAAACTAAAAGGTATGTCTTTGAAGGAATTAATCATGGGTGTCCTCCCTTCTGTCCCTCCTCAGACCCAACCCCTCGCAAGCCCATCCTGAAGTACGACAACTCTGGGGTGAGGGTCCGTCGCTTCACCACCGCCACGCTGGAGTGCTTGTTTGGGGGCTAGTAAGTCATGCTGTGTGATCTCAAAACTGTGACAACGTCTAATTAAAAAAAAAAAACATCTGTGGATGGTTGGCGAGAGACCTGGTGGTGTGGTTTGCTCCTTTTTTCGTATCAAACATCTATCGTCCTTGTCTCTCCTCCTTCTTTTTTGTGTATGTTACTCTCTTGTAACACACCTGTTCTTCGTCTCTTATATGACCTTATTGTGTTGCAAGTGCAGTAAAACTCTTACTAAAACTTTTTTTAAAGCTTCTGTATAGCAAAAATTTCCACTCATGCTTGTCTTTTACTCAAAACAGAAGCAATCATTTAGAATCTTATACATTAATCAATGAGTAGCTGGCAGATGCTCTTGTGTGGCCTGCTCCTTCTTTCCTATCAAACTTCTCTCACTTTTTTCTTCTTTGTGTGTTACTCTCTAGTAATACCTCCAATCTTTGGCACTTGCATGAGCTATGTGTGTTGCAAGTTCCATAAAACTCTTATTAAACTTTTCGTTGCCGTATGACGTTCTTAGTACGTCATGAAAAAGCGTAATTTTCAGTGTACGTCACGGAAGTTGGCAACATATTTGCCGCTCCTGGTTGCCTGTATGAATGATGTTACATGTACGTCACGTTAATAGCCTGGCTCGAATTCTTCTGTACAGAGTTTTAGCCTCAAGCGCTGCGTAGATTCGTATTCGGGAATGAAAGATGAGCGTATAGGTACCAAATTTGCTAGTATTGCTTTACTGGTAGGCTTGCAAGCGATCGATAAACACAGATCTAGGCTTGCGGGCGGCCGCATACTCTCGTAAAACGAAAACATCGAAATGACTTTAAAAAGTAAAATAAATTGACTTTTTGACTTTGATTTGCAGATTATTGGAAATTGTGAATAAGATGGGAGGAAAAGGAGAATAAGAAAAGGGAGAAAAGTGACAATTGAAGACCCGATGTCCGAATTATGTCATGAGTGCGCTAGATCTAAACCGCACATCCATTAACACTGAGACATTAGGCTGCTGTCCTGGGAAACGAGCTCAGCTGAAAATCAGTGCTGACAGTAGGAACACATACCCCCTGGCTACGAAAGGGTTAAAACTAAACTTGCGTTCAACAATCTCTATCAACAGTGACCCAGACCCGAGCCAACCGCATGTGCCAATGACAGAGTGGCTGGGCAAGGACTACCGTCCCATCGTGCCAGGTGGCAAGTACCAGATCTCTGAGGACACCCGGCGTTTGACCATCACCAATATCCAAGAGGAGGATGAGGGAGACTACTACTGCAAGGGGAAAAACTCTGTTGGCGAGACGGACCTCAACACAGTCACATTGGATGTTACCTGTAAGCCATGCGCCTTTCTGTGTTGTTTTAACCCTTCTGAGTGGGTGGTTGTGGGGGTGCTCTGGTGTGGTTTGCTCTTTCTTTCCTATCAAACATTTATAATCCTTATCTCTCCTCCTTTTTTGTTTTTGTTACTCGTTTGTAACACCTCTAAATCTATGTTATCAAACATCTATTGTCCTTATAATCTCTCGTTATTCTTTTTTTTGTATGTTACTCTCTTGTAACACTTCTATTCTTCAGCTTTTATATGACCTTATTATGTTGGAAGTGCAGTAAAACTCTTATGGAAAAACTAAATCTATGTGTTTATCTTTACTCAAACAGAAGACAGCGATAGAGGCATATGTGGTTGGCGAGTGCTCTAGTGTGGTTAGCGCCTTCTTTCCTATCAAACATCTATCATCCTGATCTCTCCTTCTTCTTCTTTGTGTTTGTCACTTGCTTGTAACACCTCTAATCTTTGCCATTTGTATGACCTAATTGTGCTGTAAGAGACCCTAAAACACTTACTTAAGATAATTCGAACAACTCCACATGCTCAAAAATTGACCAGGGCCTGATTCCTCCACGTTGTGACACAAATGGTTTAAGTTATATGGTCGCTTTTAAGCACAAGGGGGCTATCCCGAAAAATGCTGTTTTGGGAAAATCGAAGGTAAAGTTTTTGCCCCTTGTTCAGTTTCTTTAAAAGACAAGGATAGTTTTCTCTATAGCCAAACAAATATACACACCAATTAAAACAAATTTCTCCTTTAATTAGGGCAATGCCCACTTTTGGTTTTGGTCAAGATTTCTGGAAACCCCGGAAATCTGGTTTAGCCCGCTTGTCCTTAAAAGCGACCATATATTGATGAAAGTATAAGACACTTACAATATGTGACACAACACGGTGGTATCAGGCGCTCGTAAATTTTTGAGCTTGTGGAGTTACTGATATCATCTTAAAGCTTGTACATTTGTGTACCTTCTGATAAAAAAAAAATACCCATCATTCTTGAATAAAAGTCGAGATATTTATGATTGAAGGAGGGGGTGGGGGTAGGGGCGCATTGTTTCAGAGGTAAAATTATCGAGAAAACTGACGCCAAAGACTGGTGATCCCCATTGCTTGAGAGACCATTGAAACTGAAAATTTACATTTTTTGTGCTTTCAATTAATGGTTTTCAGAAAAATGATCACAGAAATATGTTTTTAAATGGACATATAAGGTGTTGAGCAAAAAAAAGAAAACTCGGAAAAAAAATTGTCAAGTGGCCAGAAAAAGGCAGTTTTCTTTGATTTCATTATTTTGACGAGTGCCTGATTTCACCACGATGCCTCACAATGTGATATCGTCTCACAATGTCCCCGTGAGTGGTTGGTGGGTTCCCTGGTGTGGTTTGCTTCTTCTTTCCTATCAAATATCTATTGTTTTTATCTCCCCTCATCCTTTTTTGTGTCAGTTACTCTCTTGTAACACCTCTAATCTTCGGCATTTATATGACCTTATGCAGTTGCGAGCACCGTAAAACCTCTACTAAAACAAACATTATGTCTCCTCATCCTTTTTTTGTGTCTGTTACTCTCTTGTAACACCTCTAATCTTCGGCATTTATATGACCTTATTGTGTTGCAAGTGCTGTAAAACACTTACTAAAACAAAAAACAAAAACAATGTCCCCAGCTGAGCCCCTGTGGGAGCCGGAGGGTGCGCCTGCCGACACGACTGTGCCCGAAGGAGAGAATGCCATCTTCAACTGCAACGCCCGCTCGACCATTGATGAGACCCCGCCTCAGAGCCCGATCTGGTACATCAACAGCGAGCAGACAGGCTCTCATACTGGTAGGTGGATGGGCTGTGCTGGGTATAAGGCTACTGTCAGAATAAGCATAGATGTGTATTGCTCTTTTGAGTATGTATCTATATACAACTCCAAAGGTCTTGTGTTATGCAGTTGCGAGCGCCGTAAAACCTCTACTAAAACTAAAAGGTCTTGTAATTAATTTCCTGCATGTGGTTGAACAATGCATCTGATGAGTTATGTTCTTTTTGTCAGCTTTACTTCTCTTTTCATATTGAATTTTAATGAGAGTAATATATAATTTCAATTTTTATATATACCTGCATGTGTTTTTACGGTCCTGTACAACCAAGAAAAAATCCCTCTGGGATAATAAAGTATTATCTTATCTTATCTTAGTTGTTAGGCAACCAGACCTATAATCGTGAGATTGGGGGGTAGGCGGTTCGAGCCTCAGCTAGGTCAGGCACTGTGTCCTTGGGAAAGGCACTTAACATGAATTTCCTATTTGGCTGGGTCCTTCCGGAGGTGGATGTTAAACTTGAAAGTCCCGCCTCTTTAATAACCTATTAGTGTTGATGGGGGTGTTAAACCTAAACCGTTTCATCATTTCACCATTTGGGTCAAGTGGGCAGAGAAGGAGGAGGAGGAAGAATTGAGAGGAGACAACAACGCAGGATGACTAATAATACTGATAAGAAGAGCGAGGAGAATGAAATGAAGAAGGGATGAATAGCGATGAGGATGAAAAAGAAATGTGTTGGAGAAGATGGGGGGGGGGGGGGAATCAAGTATGAGTAGGGGGGGGGTGTTGTTGTTTATTCCCCAAGGGGGCGGAACATAACAAGAGAGCTGGAACATGCAGTAAAGAAAAGAAAAAAAAACAACATAATAAGAGAACAATGAAGAGAAAAAGAGGGAAGAAGTTAATGACAGATTACGATGATAATGGGGGGTAAAAAAGTGAAGGAGAATGAACAGAGAAATTCTGTAATTCAAGTGAGATTAGAAATGGAGACATAAATTTGGAGAGTAGAAATTTTTTTTAAAAATGTTAATGGAACTTGGGTTTTGGGAAAATTCATGCAAAAATTTTGACAATGCTTGAACAGCTCCCTGTCATCGTTGAAAACTTGATCACCAAAATTGTCAAAAATTAAGTGACTTTTGATGTCATTGTCACCTTTTGTGGAGAGAAATGTTTGAGAAAATGACATCATTGTCAATTCAAAGTTGGGGGTCGAGCTCAAAATTGGATAGGTGGTTTTTGCTCAGGCACTAGGATGGGATCTGCAACATGTTAAAAGTCAGATACATATCTGTCATTCTAATTCTTGAAAATCTTCTGGCGTCCGTGGATCCCATGTTTGATTCTTGTGTGTGAGTTGGTTATTTTTTCAAATTAAAAAAAAAAAGTGTCTGTCAGTCTGTTAGCACATTGTTTCCTTCTCAACCTGGGGTGGCCCTGCCTCTTAAAATATCAGTAAAGTATTGACATGGACGATAACCATTTACAATTCATCATTATTATTGCCTTTCTCACCATGGATCAGGATTTAGGCTTAAGTGGTTAGAGGAGAGCACGGCTGGTAGGTCCTACTTCTTTTCTCTCCCTTAGTTGTTTCTGTCTATCTGTCTTGCATCTTCTTTGCACTATATGACAATTATTGTGTTCATGAGCTTCTCTTTATTTAAAAAGATTTTAAAAATTGGGGCATAGGCTAGAAACAATGTATGCTTTCCACCTTTCCCTATTTTGGAATATTTTTACAACTACAACTACGATTTAATTTTTTCCACGTTTGGAAAATCTTCCAGATCCATCCAAGTACCTGATCTCTGCGGACAAAAAGCGTTTGACTGTGCTGAGTGTACGGAAAGCCACAGACATCCTGTGTGTGCAGTGTAAGGTAGTCAACGAGGAAGGAACCACCTGGGGAGATGGATGCCTCAACGTCATTTGTGAGTTCTTTCTAGCAGACTGAGATTTTGGCTTTGTTTTGGGGTTTTATTTATGCAGTTGAATGAACTATATCGTCGCCGCTGTGATAAGATCGGAGAAGTGACCATGGGTAAATTATTCAGGTGAAGGAAAAAACAGATTTGTTAAAATCACAGCTTATAATTATAAGTTGTCCGATTTTCATACTGTTCAAAAAGTCTACTTTTGGTTAGTTATTTGAATATTAATTTTTAACCAGCATATATATGAGACATGCTTTGTAGACTATGTTTGGCGAAAAAAAGCAAAATAGAAAAAATTGTGTAGTTATCCGATCTTATCACCATGGTGACAATATTGGTTGTTTTTTTTGGTTGAATCCTTTATTTTGGTAGGAGAAGAGGGAAAGGGGTCTTTTATTTTTATTTGCTTATTTTGTTTTGTATTTTGCTGCTTTTTTTTGGGGGGGGGGGAGGTGGTATTTTTTCATGCTGAATATTTTATCAGAATGACTGCTGATCGTTCTAATGTTCTTCATGTGTCCTATGAGCATGCTTAGAGGTTTTAGGGGTTGAACTTCTCTTCTTAAGGGAACTCTTTTACTTTCTCATCTCTGTGAATGTGAATGTTGCTCTTGTTTTACCGAAACTTTTACCTTCTCATCTCTGTGAATGTGAATGTTGCTCTTGTTTTACTGAAACTTTTACCTTCTCATCTCTGTGAATGTAAATGTTGCTCTTGTTTTACCTAAACTTTTACCTTCTCATCTCTGTGAATGTGAATGTTGCTTTTGTTTTACCGAAACTTTTACCTTCTCATCTCTGTGAATGTGAATGTTGCACTTGTTTTACCGAAACTTTTACCTTCTCATCTCTGTGAATGTGAATGTTGCACTTGTTTTACCGAAACTTTTACCTTCTCATCTCTGTGAATGTGAATGTTGCTCTTGTTTTACCGAAACTTTTACCTTCTCATCTCTGTGAATGTGAATGTTGCTCTTGTTTTACCGAAACTTTTACTTTCTCATCTCTGTGAATGTGAATGTTGCTCCAGTTTTACCGAAACTTTTACTTTCTCATCTCTGTGAATGTGAATGTTGCTCTTGTTTTACCTAAACTTTTACCTTCTCATCTCTGTGAATGTGAATGTTGCTCCAGTTTTACCTAAACTTTTACCTTCTCATCTCTGTGAATGTGAATGTTGCTCCAGTTTTACCGAAACTTTTACCTTCTCATCTCTGTGAATGTGAATGTTGCTCTTGTTTTACCGAAACTTTTACCTTCTCATCTCTGTGAATGTGAATGTTGCTCTTGTTTTACCGAAACTTTTACCTTCTCATCTCTGTGAATGTGAATGTTGCTCTTGTTTTACCGAAACTTTTACTTTCTCATCTCTGTGAATGTGAATGTTGCTCCAGTTTTACCGAAACTTTTACTTTCTCATCTCTGTGAATGTGAATGTTGCTCTTGTTTTACCTAAACTTTTACCTTCTCATCTCTGTGAATGTGAATGTTGCTCCAGTTTTACCTAAACTTTTACCTTCTCATCCATGTGAATGTGAATGTTGCTCCAGTTTTACCGAAACTTTTACCTTCTCATCTCTGTGAATGTGAATGTTGCTCTTGTTTTTCTCTTTTATTTTTATTTGCAGGTGGTTGGACAGCACATGATTATGGCAGTCCAACTTCTTTCTTTCCTTTCCCTGTGTTGTTTCTCTGTCTTTCTTTTTCTCAGGGTGGGTGGTTGGCGGGTGCTCTGGTGTGGTTTGCCTCTTCTTTCCTATCAAACATCTATCGTCCTGATCTATCTTCCTTCTTTTTTATGTTTCTTACTCTCTTGTAACACCTCTTGTCTTCCGAACTTATATGACCTTATTGTTTTGCAAGTGCCATAAATAAAACTCTTACTAAAACTTTAAAAAGTATACCAATTTTGTTGCAGTGGGCATCGACATCACCTACCAGCCCCCGGAGAAACAAGAGATCGTGTACGGCGACACCATCGACCTGACGGTCCGCGCCACCACAGATCCCAGCATCAAGACTCTCAACTACGAGTGGCTTTTCGACAATGAGACGTATGTCACCACTCCCCCGTACGCGATCATGGGCCAGGACCGATACACCTACATCAACACCAGCCTGCTGAACAACGATGAGTACAAGAGCGTGGCGGGACTGTACACGTGCGAGATAGCCCACAACTTCCAGAGGAAGGCTGTCAATGTGGAGGTGGTGCTGGTGGATAAGCCTGTTGGTGAGTGGACTTGGGCTTTTTATTTTTTCTTTGATGTTTTTTTTTTTCAAATTTTAATTAATTTTTTTTAATGTGTGTGGGGGGGAGGGGGGGGGGGAAGAAGGAGGTTTATAGTTAGAGGGAGCATTTGATGACAGGTTTTTGCAGTTAGTTAATGAAGTTAACACTTTGATCCCACGGTTGGCGACTATAAAAAGCTGTCCCTTACCCCCACTGGATGTGATATAGCAACAAAAATATTGTAGGGATGTTCTCTTTTTAGACCCGTGCACTTTATAAAGTTATTCTTTCCTTTTTGAATGGTTTGTGAGGCCTTTGAGGGCGAAAATCTGTTTACAACAATGGAAGTAACTTTTTGTTTGTTAAGCAGACCTGCCTTGAGTGCTGCTGTACACTAAAGTGATGATGAGAATTCGAGTGGTGAATGTGCAAGTTCTTAAGTTTTTAGTTCTGATTCTAATTCCTTTTTTGGTGAACGCGCAATCATCATGTTCAATTTTCTCAAGTCCCCCCCCCCAATCAAGGCAGTGCTACTGACTGAAGTGTCTTTAGGCCATTCCCAAAGGGGGGATATTAACATGTTCTTATGCACAGTAGAATTGTAAATGGGCTGATTTATCCATGTCATGCTCATACTGTGCCGGACCAACATAGGGGGAACTCCTGCCTTTTCTTTCCTCATCCTTACTATCATCATTTTCCTTTATTTCTTTTGTATGTTTGTCACTCTCTTGTGAACTGCTATTTCCGGGGTGCCTTGACAGCCGAACCAGACTTTGTGCTATTGTGGCTAGAGAGGTGAGCAGAGTAAGCCTGATTCCCCGTTTGGACTTCTCTGTCGACATCCACCCCTTGGCGCTCATATGACCTTATGAAGTTGCGAGCGTCGTAAACCTTACTAAAAGTAAAACTAGCTAAATATTCTCAATGTGCTGAAAATTTCATAAGGATTGGGATATTTTTCCCGAGATACAGGTATAGTACTGATGTATCCGGTCGGCATTCTGGTATGTGGGGACATAGGTAGAGCACTCTGTGAGCTGGGTGGATGGAAAATATTAAGGATGGGAGGATAGGGAGGGGGATGAGGGGGTTGGGTTTTTTTTTCAAGATTGCTTTTAAGTAAGTGTGTTTGAGAGGACTTTTTTTTTGGTTCTCTTTTGTAAATGAGTGGAATTGGAAATTAATTTTTAAAGTCTTTTTTTAACTTACAGTGAAAGAGATGTGTAGTGTATATCTGTATGTTCAAGTGTGTGTTTATGTATTAACCAAGGAGTTTACAGTTCTAAGCTCCTTGGTATTAACATACACCCTTTCAGCCCAGATTTCCCCCACGTTGTTCAATAAAGTGGGATCTATTTATTTATTTATGATTATAAAATTACAACTTTGAGCAACTGACAGAAGCCTTTGTTTATTTGTTTTTTCTCACAGTCGTTCCGGTGACGGCCTCCGCTGGCTTCCCTATGTGGATCATTGCTCTGATTGTCGGTATCCTGTTCCTCATCATTATCATCATCATCATCATTTGCGTCATTTGCCGGAAGAAGCAGGAAGGAGACTACAATGGTAAGGATTTCTTTTTTGGTGGAGGGTGGGAGGGGGGGGGGGAGTTGTGTGCTCTTTGTATCATTAATTTTTCTTGATCCAGTCTCTTGAACCTGTACCCTTCGACAGTTCACAAAGGTTCAACAGATGTAGGTCTGTAGGAGTTGTAGTCTGTTTATGTAGAGCAGGCACAAGCAAACTATAGTCCGCAGGCCAGAAAGTTCTGAAGCATCTTTGTATTTGAAACACATACATAGTGAAATTCGTACATAATGAAAAGAATTCTGAGTCCCAGTAGGGGTTATCATGGTCGAGAGGTTACGGTGTTTGCCTCTCGTTCATTGGGTCCCGGCTTCGGAAATTTTCTTCTCTAGAATGTTCTCCTTTCACCTCCTTTCCTGCTCTCTAACAATGTTCTGTCGTCTGGTTTCATCTCCAATTTCTGGCCCCACCTCCTACCCCCTTTGCCTCCTCCTCTGGACTCCTGACTCTTTCTGCAGTCTTTGTACTGCTGTTTCTTGGTTCCTTCTTACTGCTGTCTGTCAGCCACACCCCTGATCTTACGGTAGGGAAAATTGAACACCTAGCCTTCTCAAATAAGGGCGAAAAATCTCTAAGGTCCCGTGTGCAAGTTGCTCAGGTTAAAGATCCCTTGGTTGTTCAACATCAATAAGAGTAGGCTTCAGCTACCACTCGTGCAAAATTCAAAATTTCCTACCAACGAAAAATGTTTAATGTGTCCTGCGCACTCATATGACCTTATGCGGTTTGGAGCACCGTAAGACACTTACCAAAAAAAAACAACCAATGAGTCCTGATAATTTCATTTCATGCACATTTTGTTTGCACATAGATGTTGAAGTTATTTTTCCCCCTTTATTTAGGTTTCGAGTTTTGACGGTATACAGTAGGTCTATTTGAATCCTTCATGCTGAATGTATGATGTGCTTGACTTGTGTCCCACATTGATATTTTTCTTATGTTTTATGCTTAGAGAGGTTGGTTTGTGTGTGCTCTGGTGTGGTTTGCCCCTTCTTTGTCCTAATCTCTCCTCCCTTTTTGTGTTTGTTATTCTCTTGTAACACCTCTAAGCTTCAGCACTTAAAGGACTTTATTGTTTTGCAAGTTCCTTAAAACACTCACAAAAACTAAATTTGTGCTTTAAAAAATCATTAATGCAATTTATGCATTTGATGTGTAATTTTTTTTACTTTGTACAGTGGACAAAAAGGAAACAGGCGCTGGTCTAGACCCTAAGAAGGAGTTGATGGAGAAAGGATTTGATGACTATTCCAGACCGTAAGTCTGTGTGTGTGTGTGTGTGTGTGCGTGCATGTGCGTGTGCGTGTTTGTGTGTGTGTGTGTGCGTGTTTGTGTGTGTGTGTGTGCGTGTTTGTGTGTGTGGGTGCTCGTGTGTGTGGGTGCGTGCTTGTGTGGGTGCGTGTGTGCATGTGTGTGTGGGTGCGTGTTTGTGTGTGTGGGTGCGTGTGAGTATGCGTATGAGCGTGCGTACGTGCGAGCGCGTGTGCGTGCGTTTGTGCGAGCATGCTTGCGTGCGTGCGTGCGTGCGTGTGTGTGTGTGTGTGTGTGCATGCGCGCGCGTGTGTGTGTGTGTGTGTGTGCATGTGTGTGTGTGTGTGTGTGTGTGTCTGTGTGTCTGTATTCTGCAATGGAATTTTATTTTGTTAATGAGCCGTTAACTGACACCTTTGAACATTCTCGTGGTTTTAGCGCCAAAAATAACTTGCTCTTTCTTGTAAACTATGGCTCAACATTTTTTTTTTATAAAGATGAAGTTGTCAACCCATACCAAAGATAGTAAATAACAAGATGGGCCACTCAGCCAAAAAAGTGTCCGCAGGAAGTATGCTCTTTGCTTCAGATGGCGCTGCAGTCTGTTTTGAAGCTCTCTTTCGTTTTTCCAGAAGAAGAATAGGAATAGCACCTCCTTGCGTGCGCAGATCAACTGCTGTTCATCAGCAGTTCGGGTTCGTTCAGTACGGAGTTTTAGTTTTTTTAGATTTTAATGACCTGACGCCTTTCATTCTAAAGTCGAATTAAACGAAGAAAACAATCCCCCTTTCCTCCGGAAGAGGTTTTTTGTCAGCGTAACCATTTTAAAAAAGCGTTCTTCCGAAATTCATTCAAAAACTTGCTAGTTTCACTTTGATTTTTTAAACTCAAGTAGGATAACTCTGTTCGCTAAAGGTGCGTTTTTGCGAAGAGGGCGCCACCGAATTTTGAGGACACTTTTTTAATTGGCTCAAAGAGAGAAGTGGCCCATCTTGTTATGTACTATCTTTGCCCATACTCAAGAATTATATTTTCGATATGCCTCTTGCTTCAGTCTAGGGCTCTCAGTGACTTAGCGGTCAGTGAACTCGGGCTGAAATAATGTCTAGCAATATCACTGATATGACTATTCAAGGTGAACTGTCAGTCGGGTGTTCTTGAGCTTGACACCTTATTTTTAGCGAAAAAGGAACAAACTGTTCACGGGCAGTATTGCATACAGACATAAATCATTTTTGGCGGCCTTTTTTCCCAGCATTAAATGTTGTGCGCAATGTGTGTGTAAATTCATAAAAAAACAGACTAGACAAGCGGGTTGTTGGCGGATGCTCTGGTGTGGTTTGCTCCCTCATTCCTATCAAACATCTATCGTCTTGATCGCTCTTTCTTTTTTGTGTTTCTTACACTCTTGTAGCACCTCTGATCTTTGACACTTATATGACATTATTGTGTTGCAAGTGACGTTAAACTCTTACTAAAACAAAAACATATATCGTCTTGATCGCTCTTTCTTTTTTGTTTGTTACTCTCTTGTAGCACCTCTAATCTTGGGTACTTACATGACATTATTGTGTTGCAAGTGCCGTAAAGCTTTTACTTAATTAAACAAAAACTAAGTGAAGTTGTCCATTCTTTCTTTTCCTTCAGTGACCCAGCTGATTTTGAGTACGGTGACAAGCCCCGAAGAGAGCTGCCATATGATGAAGACGCACCTCTGGTGGGAGAAGACACCAAAAGCTTGGGAGAGTACAGGTAATGAACATTCTTTGTACAATCGGGACATCACGATCACAACATGTCGATCTAGACAGACATTGAAATGGCGCTCATATGACCTTATGCAGTTGCGAGCACCATAAAACCCTCTACTATATAAAAAATAAAGACATTGAAAGCAGCAGGAGCCAGACACAACTGTACCGGTGGACGTACGCTTTATTACTGAAAATTCTCTTCTCTAAATTCTAGGATGGTTGTATCTAAGACAACAATTACGTAACCACTTACGCAGCTTGGTTACGAGTTGCCAGTGGTTACCTGTTCCCAGGTTTCCTAATTACTAAGGCAATAGAGATGGTTTGCCTAATGGTAATGGACATTACACGTTCTTTGTGCTTTTGTTGACAATTAGCATTGCTCATTGTTCTGTCCCTGTCGTTTTGTGCAAGAAACATTCTGAAATTATGCAAACTGAGCCCAAAAATGTGAAATTATGCGATTCTGTTAATTTGAACAAAGAATGATAAAGGAAAATAATCAGAATTTATGCAAAAAATGATCAAATTTTGCTAAATTATGCGGGGTGCATGAAACCACGGGGACAGATTGTTGAGGAGAAAAGTGGTTGTCTTAGACAGGTGGACATCTTGGACCGCAAGAGGGGAAGTGGGAAGTGGTCACTTGTAGGCCTACAAATGAATTGTGAGGCAGCGTGGTGGAATCAGGCTCTCATCAATTTTTGGACATGTAGATGTATTGGTATCATCTTAAAGTTTGTTTACTTGTCTTTGGATGGAAAAAATATCCATTTATCTTAAATACAAGTCGAGATATTTGTGAAAGAAGGAGGTGGGGTCCACCTGTTTTCAGAGGTAAAATTAGTGAGAAAATGGCCCCCAAAGATTAGTTATTTCCTTAGCTTAAGAGTCCGTGGTAACAGAAAATTTACATTTTTTGTGCCTTTAATCAACGTTTTTCAGAAAAATTAACACAGAAATGAGTTCTTTAATGGGCATGAAAGATGTTGAGCCAAAATACAAAAATTCGATAAGAATTCAAAAACCTGCGGAAAAATGCAAGTTTCTTCACTTTGATTATTTTGACGAGAGCCTGATCCCCCCACGCTGCCTCACAATTTAATGTTGTGGACAGGTAGCTGTCAGAGCAGGTTCGACTGTATTTCTTTGCTCATTTGTCTTTTTTGTCTCGTTGTTTTGGGATTGGTTTTTTGGGGTTTTGTCATAGACTGGAACAGAAACACCATGTATGTACATAAGGCATGGTAGTGCACTTTGTGGGATGACATTAAACATGGCTGTGTTCCAGTTTAGTACTACTACTGCTGCTGCTGCTGCTGCTACTGCTGCTGCTGCTGCTGCTACTGCTGCTGCTACTACTACTACCTACTACTGCTGCTACAACTACTGCTGCTGCTGCTGCTACCTACTACTGCTACTACTACCTACTACTGCTGCTACTACTACTGCTGCTGCTGTAGATCATGTTTTACTGAACAAAAAAACCTTCATGGATCATCCACACTCCTACATACATACGATCACATCTCCGCTCTAAATTTCTCGACGAGAGGTACAACACTCGCCTTAGTCGCAGGGGCTTTACAATGAAAGGATCACACCCAGGAGTGAACTTTTCTACACCTTTTGATTTCTCCGAACATCAAACTACAGCAAGGTGGGATTCGGTAGGCAGGGCCAACAAGGCCGCATCAGATGGGATCACACCGAACTGTGATTTCATCGGTGTTTTTGTTTCCCTGACCATCTATCAGGTGTGCATCCGAATTTGCTGGACAGATTTTGCGCCTGTACACTAGGACTGTCCGATCGCCTTTGTGTAATGTTGAGCCAGCCTTTCATTCTTCGAATTTTAATTTCTGCATTTACAACACAATGATGAGTTACAACCTGAATATGAGCGGTGACTTCGGTCAGAGATGAAGGAAAGCAATAAATGCTTCACAGGTGAAGGGGAGGAGCAATGAGTAAGATAACGCTTTATTGTTATTAATAGGCTAAGGAACCCAACAACACAAGCTAACATTTAAGACTGTAGTATTTTTACGCATCAATACAGTTTGTAAACTTTTATCCCATCTTAAAAGACAAAGGATGCTGTAATTATTATTACTTTTTCAATAGTTAAACCATTGGGAGGGGGGGGGGTGCACTAAAAAAAGGAAACGAAATTACTTGCCTCAATAATTCACAGACAAAGGCATCATTGTAAGCAATCAGTTAAAGCTGATTTTGAATCTCTTTTGCTCTATAATGTTTTTGTGTGAAGGCCTTTTACCTAGGCTTTCTAGACCTGAGACAATGTAGTCCTTTACGTTCACCATAACACATGAAAGCTAGTAATGGCACTCCCCTTGAATCATGAAATCATTGTGTCAACTTCAATACTTTGTGGTATGTTTTAATAACGAATCCTTCAGCATGATCTTATATAGTAAGATTTACTGCCCTGTCTGTTTAATAATCTTCTGTTACTCGGCAACACAACTGAGTTGTTTTTGTTTTTTTGTTTGTTTGTTGTTGGGGTTTTTTTTTAGGGGGAGGGGTTCTCCACCCCTTCTCATTTCTCCTAACCTCCAACCCACCGCCTTTCTTGATTTTTAAACTACTGCTAGGCTGTGTTTCACGACTAGTCAACATGGGGATCTTTGTAAAGAAAAAACCACAGTTCGCGCTGGGTGACCATAGTTGGCACCATTTTGTATGTTCCACTGGGCGTGCTGCACGCGGTGCCGCGAAGAGAGAGAGAGGAGGAACTCCTTGCCAACCACTCATTTCTCTGATTGAATGCTTTAAAAAAGACCTACATTATCCTCGTCTTTTGGCATCACCTCTTTGTGTAAGTTCTTTTTCTTAGTTAGTCTCTCTGTCTGCGTCGTCTTCTTTTGTCTTTTATTTTTCCAGAGAGAGCAAGTGGGTGGTTGGCGTGTGCTGTGGTGTGGTTTGCTCCTTCTTTCCAATCAAACATAATCTATCATCCTTATCCCCCCTTCTTCTTTTTTATGTTTGTTACTCTCTTGTTACACCTCTAATCTTCTGGCGCTCATATGACCTTATGCAATTGCGAGCACTGTAAAACCTCTACCAAAACAAACAAAGAGAGAGCAAGATATTCTGGGTTTCTAGTCAGTGTCATAAGAACATTGTGATTTTTGTGTTAATAAGTCTTGTAAATTTGTTTTTTGTTATCTTGTTGCAGTGAGGATGAAGAGGCCAGGTTCTTCAACGAGGACGGCTCATTCATTGGGCAGTATCACAAGAAGGACCCGACTAGGCCACCCCCACCACCCAATGAATCAAATATTTAAATCTGACGCACACAAAGTCTGCCCCACTTTTGATAGGAGGCTGCGGACTCCGGTGCGGAAGATCTATTTTTAGAACTTGAAGACAACGAATAACAACTGAAGAATGTCTTAGTTTAAAGAGAATTTGTTTTGAGAGAAATGAGATTGAACATATGTCTTTATTGAAAACTGATTTATTAAAAAAATTGTATGTTATTCTAATGGATATTTCTAAAAAGTACTGTTATCTTTTAATCATAATAACAAAAAGCAATAATTAAATTAGCGTTAATCAGTTTAGAGTTGCGTTTTTAGATTTACTGTATATGCCGTGTTTCTTCTGAATGATGCAAGTGTTTTAAAAGTTTCCTTTTTTTCTTGAGATTTGTCTTGAAAATCTGTGTAAAAATACTTAGATTGATAGTATTAGAGTGGGGAGTCTTAATGGTGAGAAATTGGTGCGATGATCATTAGCTCTCTAGTTTTGTGGGGGAGGGGGGGAGGTGGAGAGGGGGGGTGTTTTTGTCAAATCATGTGTGTGGCTGCTTCAGTCTGCATGCTCATTCCCTGTTATGTATATTTACTCTTTTATTTAGTTTGTTCTTTGTTTTTGTGACTGGAGACAGGGATACTGTTTGTGGTGTCAATCATTATGAAACTAGTGTGTTTAACCTATTTGAATTGTAACTGACCCCTCTTTCTTGAGGAGTATAGATACTGTTTTAAATGAAACGTGATTATTTTGTATGCATGTGAAATAACAAAGTTAGATTGATTATATATATATATGTGCCGCACACTGCTAAAGTGTATTACCATTCATGAAAACTTGCAGATATGTGGTTTTGGTACGTTGACATTGTGTAGTGTATGTCGAGGGTTAGAATAGATGCATGTGTGTTTGAGGAGGGCAGGGGATAGACTCTTATGCTTAAGCATAGGTTTTTTTCCCCACTGTTGTGCTCAATAAGAAAGAATGTTCGGACGTCTTGTATAAAGTTACATTCAAACCTGCTCTGTCAAGACGACCACCTGTTTTCGAGGAGGAAAAAGTGGCGGTTGTTTTAGGCAGGTGGTCCCGCTTGGTCAGTGTTATTGCAGCACATGAAATAAACCGCACAGCGGGAAATGGGAAGTGATTGTTTGGACAGGTGATTATCTTGGACAGGTGATTATCTTGGACAGGTGATTATCTTGGACAGGCAGGTGGTCATAGAGCAGGTTTGACTGTGTGTTTATAAACGTTTTTATTTCTTGCATCATAACATAGATTTTGATTCAAAAGACGCATTATTTTTTTTACCTGTCTTGTGTGTTCCCAGGGTCTTGGCCTTTAGTTCATTAATTTTTTTCCTTTTCTTTTTTTTCTTTTTTGTTTGTTTGGGGGTAGAGTTTTAGTTCATTAATTTTTTTCTTTTTTTTTTTTTTTTTTTTTGTTTGTTTGGGGGTAGAGTTTTTGGGGGGGGGGGGGGGTTGTTTGCTTGTTGTTGTTTTTTTTTTTGGGGGGGGGGGTTGGTTGGGGGGGGGGGGCGGTGAGTTGTTTGTATTTGCAAAAACATATCCAGGCAATTTTTATGCTATGATCTATTATTTGACTTTGGTCAAGACAGTGATGTGTTTTCGAAATTATACAGAACTGTGTTGGTGTTTTGCATTGCTATATCTTCTTGTTAATTTAAGTAAGGGGAAGAAAGAATGGCTTTTTGTCTGTCTGTTTGTTTGTTTGTTTGTATTGTTGTTACGTCTTTTGTTGACCAAAAGCTTTCCTTTCCTCCACACTGATGTTGTTCTCTATGTTGATTTTCTGTAAAGATGTCTAACTGTGTGTAGGTGAGTACGCATTTTTGTTAACCCTATCATCACCAACAAGTGTGCAGTTTTAAACTTTTTATACTTTACCACCCCAGTCTTTTTACAACTGGGTGTTTCACTGCTGGCAAGTCAAGCCTAATTGTAGGCCCTCCATGTATATAGAATTTTATATATATTTGCTCATTTCTAATTCTCTGTGAGACCAAGTTGAACTTTGCTTACTACTGACCTTTTTCCTTTTTTTTGTTTACACTTCTACATACATGTGCGAAAGGTGTTAGGCTGGCTTGCCATAGATAAAAGTTTACTCATTTTTTTTTCGGTTAATATAATTTTGAAGTTCTACAGGACCTTTATGTAAGGCATTCCGTGACACCAATTACGTATAGTCTTGTTCGTTAGTCTTCTCATCCACGTTACAAATATGAATTATATCCATTTATGTTGGCTGCTCTGTACTCTACTCCGACGATTTCATTTGTTTCTATCTATTTATGTTGGGGGGTTTTTTTTTATTATTTAGATGAACGTCGTGTAGGAAGGAGGTATGCAATGATTGTAGTGCCTTGTACTGACCCCTTTGTTGTATTGTGAAGTGCAAGCCCGGGCATGTTTTTGGAATGTGTTCGCAGCAGCTCGCTGTTTCTCGTGCGCTGATGATGCATACACGTACAGTGTGAGGAAGCTTGACCTCCCTCCCCTGATTCGTTAGTGTATTCAGTGCCCTCAGTGCTTGGACCTGTTCCAACAGTTTTTCAATATCTTTATCGTCATTATCATCACCATCATCATTACTATCCATGCTCTTAGCGCTTTCTGTTTCTTTTTTTTTATTGCAACTGTTTGTCTTTTTTGTGTCTTTAGTTCTGTAGGTATCATGCTTCACTGCAGGGTAGGTGACCCCAGTTCCAATCCTCTGCGAGTCATTTTTGAATTTAGATTGGTTTTAGGAGTTCTTCACGGTGCTGCATCTACTTAGCATGGTCCTCGTAGAGATGGACCTATTTGTGTCGCAAGTGCTGTGAAACTCTTACTAAAACTGAAACAAAAATAGATTGATGTTTAATTGGATTTGCATTTCTGCCTTGTAAATGACCATACTGATTTCAAAGAAGCATTTATTCCATTCTGAACATGCTACTTATGATATAATCATGATTTGAGAAAAAAAAAGATCTTTTCATTCATGTGCCACAGTAGATAGGCTCTGCGTCTTGTTATCAGAAACTATTCTGACACGGAGAACATTTCCTGTCCAGAATTGCTGTCTTTCGGTTTGAATGTAATAACATCAAAACAGCCGGCTTCTTATTTGACTGATGGCGTTAATACTTATGACAAAGTTGCAAGCGCCGTAAAACCTCTACTAAAACAAACAAGTTATGACTACTGTTCATACTAAAAACCTTTTTATAAATGGAAAGGGATGGTGATACATTGATAATGATAAGGAGCAATCAAATTATAGATATGGCTTTGTTAAGATTTCATTGTTTCCTTTTGCTTTGTGTTTTCTTAGAAATTTGGCTTTTGTTTTGTCTTTCGCATTTGGTTTTGATTTGTAAGCCGTAAGAAAAAAACATAGCATTTTGTGTCTTTGTATGTCTACAGAGAAATTTTTGTATTTATTTTCCATATCGTGTAATCATTTCTAACTTCTTGGATGTATGTATATTGTTTTTGTCATCCACATCATTCCACTGTTATGTCCCTTCATCTCCATTGACATTTGTAATTCTGTAGTCTTCCTACATCCATCCTCAACCCCTTTTTGCATATTCTCCAGCTTAAAAAATCCTGCTCTCTGATTTTTTGTCGTTCTGTTCCTTGAATGAAATGCAAACCTGAAAAGAAGAAACCAAAATGTTGTGAGTTTGTACCATCTCATAAGCCTTTTGCACGTATGTAGACATTTTCGACTCTTATATTTCTAGCTATAATAAAGTTGATGAACAAATTAACATCAACGTCTTGTTCTGGTGTTGATGATTTCTTTATGCTGTGCTGGTGCTTGCTCTGTGTGGTCTTCTCTGTGTACTTCTTTTTAGCAATACTTTATCCTTATCTTGACTGTTAGGCCTAAGTGGGTGGTTGGCGGGTGCTCTGGTGCGGTCTGCTTCTTCTTTCCTATCGAACATCTATCGTCCTTATCTCCCCTTCTTCTTTTTTATGTTTGTTACTCTCTTGTAACACCTCTAAATCTTTCGGCGCTCATATGACCTTATGCAGTTGCGAGCGCCGTAAAACCTCTACTAAAACTAAACGTAACTGTTATGCTTACTGTTGCCCTTGACTGTTACTATTGTCACTATTTTAACTGTTACTTTTCTCCTTATCCACGTGGGTGGATGATGGGTGCTCTGGTGTGGTGTGCTCTGACTCTGGTAGTTTACTCCTCCTTTCCTATAAAACATCTATCTATCATCCTTATTTCTCCTTCATGGGTGGTTTTAAGGTGCTCTAGTGTGGCTTGCTTCTTCTTTCATATCAAACATCTGTTGACCTTATCTCTCCTCCTTCGTGGGTGGTTGGCGGGTGCTCTGGTGTGCTTTGCTTTTTCTTTCCTATCAAACATCTATCGTCCTTTTCTCCCCTCCTTCTTTTTTATGTTTGTTACTCTCTTGTAACACCTCTAATCTTCTGGCGCTTATATGACCTTGTGCAGTTGCGAGCGCCGTAAAACTTCTACTAAAACAAAATCTCCTCCTTCTTTTTCGTGTTCGTTACTCTCTGGTAACACCTCTAATCTCCTGTTGTGCTGTCGAGGCTAGAGAGGTGAGCAGAGTAAACCTGATTTCCCATTTGGACTTTTCTTGACATCCACCCTTTGGCTCTCATATGACCTTACACAGTTGCGAGTGCCGTAAAACCTAACTAAAACAATCTTATCTCCGGCACTTATGTGACCTTATTGTGTTGCAAGTGGCATACAACTCTTGCTGTGGGTGGTTGGCGGGCGCTCTGGTGTGGTTTGCTTCTTCTTTCCTATCAAACACATATCGTCCTCATCTCTCCTCCTTTTTTATGTATATTACTCTCTTGTAACACATCTATTCTTCGGCACTTAAATGACCTTATTATTGTGTAACAAGTGCAGTAAAACTCTTACGAAAACAACCCCCCCCCCCCCAAACCCCCCCCCCCCCCAAAAAAAAACAAATTACGTTCTTGACTGTCACCACTATCATTGTCTTAACAGTTACTTTCTTGACTGTTACTTTCTGGACTGTTACTATTTTCACTGTCTCGAGTATTACTTTACCGACGTCTGTGGTGTAGCGATTAGGCGCTTCACTGTCGCATGCAGGAGGCCCAGATTTGATTCTTGAGTGGGGAGAATTTTTAGGAAGCATCTCAATCTTTCTGCTGAGATGTTGCATCCCTTTCAGATTGGGTTGGCCCTGACAGGCAGTGTCGGAAGCCCGCCTCTTAAATGATCTAAATTGTGTAGACCGTGGTAATGTCCATTATTATTGTGTCTGTCTGCCTCTCTTTACTCAAACAAACAAACACACAAAGCAATAAAACTAACAAACAATCCGAAAACAGGTCAACATTTCTCAAAGAACTGAGCCATAATTTCAAAACGTACCAAAAAAGTTTTAACAATTTAATTGTTATCTTTTTATAAGCAGTTCTCAGAACAACATGGGATTTTTTAAAAGTCAGATTGTCAAATTCCAACCCCCCCCCCCCCTCTCTCTCTCTCTCTCTCTCTCTCTCTCCCTCTCTCTCTCTCTCTCTCTCTCTCTCTCTCTCTCTCTCTCTCTCTCTCTCTCTCTCCCTCTCCCTCTCTCCCTCCCCCTCCCTCTCCTCCCATCCCCCCCCCTCTTTCACCAGCAGGTCTACAACTGTAGACGTATCCCCCAACTCATGCGACACCCGCCCGATCGGTTGTCCGTGTCGTCTCTGTAGTAGCTCGTCCAGCTGTTGGCAGTGGCGCAAAGATCCCGCGACGGTCCCCCGCACTGCCCGCCGTTACCGTCCGGGTACCAGGAGAAGCACAAACGCGCCGTTTTCATCCAGAGCGGCGCGCTGCCGGGCACCACCAGCCTCCAGCTCATGCGGCAGCCCCCGCCTCGATTGTCTGTGTCGTCTCGATACTCGCCGCTGAACCCATTGATACCGGCGCAAAGTTCACGCCTGGCGCCGCCGCCGCACTGCCCGCCGTTCCCGTCTGGGTACCAGCGGTAGCAGATTCTCACGCTGGAGAACCAAGACTCGTAGCCCGATGAGGTGATGCCCCACTGCATGCGACAGCCGCCGGATCGCCCGTCTGTATCGTCGCGGTAGAAAGGTGTCATCCTGTCTGGTTTTGCGCAAAGTCGACGCGCCGCGCCTCCGCCACACTGTCCGCCGTGTCCGTCAGGCCGCCATTTGTAGCACAACTGCGTCTGACCTCTAAACCAATCGGGAACGACTAAATGTCGCTCTACCTCATGTCCTAAAGCCGTGACGTCACTTTCTACCAGCACCGACAACTGTTGCATTGCAACAACTCTCTGCTCCAGAGTGTTGAGAACAGAAGAAGGAACTTTAGATTTAGCGAAGCTGATGAGGCGCAAAAGCTCCACCAAGTATTTCTCCATCACGTATTGCTTGACGGCTAGAACCATGGAAGATTTCTTGATGGGGTCCTTGATCAGAGAGCTGATTGGCGTCAGTTTTCCGGAGAAGAGCCAAGGATCTCTGTCGACTGATGGTTGCCATGACTGGATACCGTTCTCAGCCAGCAGGTTCGAGTTGCCTCCGTAGTATCTCACTGTCCTCGTGGAGGATCTGCTGAAGGACGAATCAACGTTCGTTGAGCCAGAAACCCGCCCACCATTGGCTGATATGACGCTCATAAAAGCCGCCCGGGCGTTGGTCTCCACTTGTCTGTCGGTGTGAGAGTGAAAGTAAGACGTGTCAGTCTCGTGAAGCACCCGGATGTAACCACCGAATTCACCGGTGGAAAAGTAGTGCGTGCCGAACTCATTGATGAACAGTCTGTACGCGTCAGGATTGGAGGAGAAATTCCCTGTCACCAAATGGTCAAGAAACATCTGAGCGATGTGATCCAAGTTGAGAATCAAACTCGGGATGAGGCGGACTTTCTTCGCGGATTCGAACGCCGACACGTCAGAGATATACCTGGACTCGTTGGTGATGGTATCCTGCATCATGGTGTAGGAGCGGCTGGCGGAGAAGGAGAATTTCCAGATCGAGCTTTCCCCTCCGACCGACTGCTGGAGGTTCCTCCTCACTTCGCTGGAAGTCTTGTAGATCTGGACGTAAGAGGAAATCCAGCCCCCGGGGACGGAGGATGTGTGCCACACCTGTGGGAGAGGGGGGAGGAGGAGCATGATGCAGTTAGCGAAAGATGCTGATGGTACATTGTAAGATATAGATATACAACCCAAAAAACCCGGGAGACATCAAAGAAAAATCTGTTCAGAAAAGTTGATACGTTGCATAGGCTTTAATGACTTGCCATCTTTGTTCCTTGCTTCATCGTTATTTGCATATCACATTTATACTCGCTACTAGTCAGGACCAGAGAAGGTAATGTACTAGAAGACGTTGAATCTTTCTGCTATCTTGGGAGTATAATTGATAGAGAGCGAGGAACAGGACCAGGTCCCGCATTGGAAAGGCACAGGCTGCTTTTATAGAGATCTTAGACTAGTATTTGGGGGACCAAGGATATCTCACTTCGAACAAAGCTGAGGATTTTCAATTCAAATATGAAGTCAGTCCTGTTGAATAGATGTGAGACATGGACCGCATCTCAGACTTGCATAAAGGAGAATTTTCTTGAACGAGTATCTAAGAAAGTTACTGGGGTTCAAATGGACAGACAACCCCACCAACAAGGAAGTGTTTTGAAAAACAAGACAGATCCCAGTCAGACATGAGGTAGAAGACAATGGCGATGAATGGGACATACTCTCAGGAAGTCGGAGAGCTGCATAACAAAGAAGGTGTTGGATTGAAAACCACGGAGTTAAAGATTAAGTGGAAGACTGCTTGGAACCTGGAGAAGAGACACGGAATAACATCAAGAGGCTAGCCCAGGATAGAGAAAGGTGGAAAGTGTTTGTTCGTGGCCTACACATTGAGGTAGGGTGACAAAGGCAATGATGATGCTGTCTAGTCAGTACCACTACAATTACTCTACCCACCTGATCAGGAAGCTGGAACGGGACCCCGGTCTCAGAAATCCAGGACCTATCTCTGTTGCAGGTAAAGTTGATGACTGGACTGCGAATGCCGCGACTGCCCCTGAAGTCTAGAGGCACAAGGTCCAGCTCTGTGATGTCTACGCCTGTCACCATCTTCCTCACCCCCGGAAGTGGGGTGGAGCATTCGGTGGTGGCCATGGCGCTTCCGGTAAGAAGAGTTACCTGAAAGGCTAGCAGGAGCGCCGTCGTCTTTGCAGCCAGGAGATCCATACTCTCTAGCTCTGGATGGTGAGAAATTGTATTCTAGTTTAAGCAACAGATGGGGGGGGAGGGGGGTTTGGTTTGGTTGTTTTTTTTTCCACAACAGCACTTTGTAACACAAAAAGGTCATATAATATGTGCTGAAGATTAGATGGGTAACAAGAGAGTAACAAACACACACACAAAATCTGTATGTTAGGATCTGGGTGGTGAAGAAATGAGTTAAAGTTAAAATAAGAATCTTATTGCTCTTGCAACACAATAGTGAGGTCAAACAAGTGCTGAAGGTTAGATGCGTTACAAGAGAGTAAGCAGTAAACAGGACCAGGCGAGACAAAATTAGAAATCAGAGAAAGGGTGATTATAAATGATATTATGCATCATATCCGACACCAAAGAATCAAATGGTTCGGACATGAGATTTCCAACACACCATCCAGCACAACGTGCCTGCATAAAAAATTCGATGGCAACAAGGCAAGAGGGCGACTGAGAAAGACCTGGATAGATGGAGTCAAGGAAACATTAACCACCCTCGGCAACCCCC